CAGTACAGATGCTTCATCGGTTGGCCACCATTGTGATAACTTGACACTCAATCCTATCGGACCTTTGAGAAGCCTTATAAAATGTGGCTCACAGCTGTCCGTGACAATAGAAAGCATTTATCCATCAGCTCCCACCCTCCAGGTCAACAATGGTTCCACGGATCATCCGCTCTTGCACACTTCCCGGCTGCCTTCGCACAGTGCTGGCGGTCTCCCCACCCCCGGCCGTCCCATATGGTGGCACCGGGTGTCTCTGCACTTCACTGGAGTTGATCCAAGTCGCGTGGAACTGAATGCTGTAATAGCACCTGGGGTCAGAGGCGAGGCCCAGAGATTGGGAAGGAGTTTCTAAACGCTGACTGTGGGAGAAAGTGACAGAACAGAGGAAAGGGTGATCTTGATGTGGAAAGGGAATGAAAGCACAGCCTAAGTGGCTTGGCATGGGGGGGCCAAGACGGGGTGGGAGGGTGGTCAGGATCCCTCCACACCTCTGTCACCCTGAGGGCCTTTATCACACCTGCCATCTGCGACCATCTGTCTCCACCTTCAACTTCAGGAATTTCCTACGTTATTGCATTTTGGTTATTTGTGAGTCATTTCTATGCCCTATGAAGAGAATGCAGGCATGGTGATGTAAGGATACAAATAGAGATAATGTTAGAAGCCTAAGGAAAGGATGAAATTATCAAGGATAGTGTAAAATGAGGAGGGAATTTAGCATGAAACTTTTGGTTAGTGAAAAGCAGGAAGCCACTGAATATGCAGATTAAATTATCCCAGCTGTTAAGAGAAAACTCCGCACAGAGGCAGAGCGGCGGTTGGAAAGGCGGAGTGAGCGCTGGGAAGGGAACACAAGCTGTTCCTGCAGGAAGCTCGGTGGTGTCAGGAGGAATAGGGCAGGTGCCTGAGGGGGCAGTGTGGTTACAGGGATGCTATTTTTGTGTTGAAAGAGAGAAGAATTTCTATCATGTTAAAAAACCCAAGAAAAGGAGTTAGCAGAGAGGGAAACAGCGAAGATGCCAGAAGAAAGAGTGAAAATAAAGTCAGATCTTGAAGGGAGGAATACAAAGGGAATGAATGGGTTTACCTTTTGAAAGGGTGATGAAAAGACCTAATTACACTTTATCTTCCAAACAGAAATGAAAGAAGGGGAAATGGGTGAGGACACTAAACATTTCCAGGTGTAAAGAGGAATTGAGGGATGGCTTCAAATTTATCAGGGAAGTCAGGGCCAAGTCTTCCCTTATGGAGAGAGAGAGAGAGAGAGAGAGAGAGAGAGAGAGAGAGTTGGGGGAAAGGGACAAGACAAGAGGACAGCTAGCTGTGGACAGAGATGTTTGGGTTTGGAGATCTTGGCAATAAAATCATCAAGAGCGGAGATGTGCATGATGGCCGAGATGGGAAACCTTGTATTTAGAATTGGCAACGTCAAAGAATGTGGGGATATTAGTATTTTTAAATGAATGAAGATCAAATCTTTGACTGATAAAAGAACAGGGAGCAGAGTGTTAGAGAGGACTACAGGGCAGCCTGGGGACAAAACCACCTATAAAAGCAGGTGGCCCAGACTTCAGGCAAGAAATGAGGCTTCTAGGTGACAATGGAGAACAACAGTGCATCTACACGTTTGAGGGGTTTCTTGCCGTTCTTTCTATCTCCTTGGGACCTGTCTGCGCTAACTGTACTCCTTCTCTCTCTATATGGCAAATTTTATTTCCTTCTCTTTTTTTGAAGACAATATTATAGAGCAGTTTTAGATTCACAGTAAAATTGAGAGGAAGGTACAGAGATTTCCCATTTACCCTTCCTCCCCCACAGGCACAGCCTCCCCCCATTAGAGTGGTACATTTGTTACAACTGATGAACCTACATTGAATGTCATAATTAAGCAAAGTCCATAGTTTACATTAGGGTTCGCTCTTGGTGCTGTACATTCTATGGGTTTGGACAAATGTATAATGGCATGTCTCCACCCTTTTGGTATCATAGAGTAGTTTCACTGCCCTCAATATCCTCTGCATGGCATACATTTTTATTCCAGGAATTTAAGTTCCCTCATCTCTCACCTCTCCCTGTGCTCACCCTCAGCCAGGCACACTGGCCTCCTTGGTGTTTCTCTAGCAGCCCGGGTACGTTTCCACCTCAGGGCCTTTGTACTTACTGTGCTCCACCTGGGATCCCCCTCCCCCCTCCCTCCCTTCCTGTCCATGTCTGTGTGGCTTGTGTCTCACTCAGTTCTCCTTCCCTGAGCCCTTTTCTGAGCACTGTTCTAACAAATAACATTCTTCCCCCGACTCCCATAGGCTCTATAATGCCCTTTCCAGCTTTATTTTGTTCCTCAACACTCAATATCTTCTATTTTTTTTATTAGAATATAAGCTTCACAAGGGCAGGAGCTTTGCTTATTTTGTTTCTGGCTTTTCCAGCTCCCCAAACAGGGCCTAGAGCACAGTAAACATCCAATCATTATCAGTACAAGAAGCACTGCAGGGTACCAGAAGTCCAGATGTTCCAAACATCAAAATGGATCATAATTTAAATTCCCCACTCAGGTCTGTGCTATAGATACTGTCTATCAAAAAGGGGCTATCACCCTGGTTGGGTCTGACTTATTAGTCAAGTGGAAGGCCTTTAAAGAGTGACTAGGCACTTCCCGAAGCTCAGAGACTCCAAGCTTCAGCTCAAGCTCAAGTGAATGGATTTCCAGTTGACTAGCTCCCTTCTCTTCCTGGCTATCTGTCCTGTGGACGTGGGGCTTGCTCAGACAGGCCCACGATTGTGTAAGCCAATCCTCTTTGTATATACACACATCCTGCCGATTCTGCCTCTGGCTAAACCCTGACCCACACAGACAATCTTCATAATTTACGTCTTAACCAGAATATTCTTGTGCTGGGCTGCATATCTGGCGCTTTGGCCAGACGGGTCATGCTGTGCTGTCTGTTCCTAAAACACATAGATAGAAAGGTACTGACATCAGGCCAGGCCTTGAGATATGGTCTCATGGCCCCTTCCCAGCACGCAGGCTTTCTTTCTCAGAAGGCCCGGAAGTCTCATTCCAAATTTGGGAGACAAAGGACTGGAAAAAGTATAAATAAAGAGAGTTTCCTCCATATTGGGGGTCCAGAAATTGAAAGACACATTGTTCTCTGGGCCTCCTCAGAATTTAACAATAAAATGTAACTCCTGTAGTTGGCACTGCAGTTCAGCCTCTGCTTCGGCAAGGTGCTGTAACTGTAGTCACTGGCCAGCTTAAATAAAGGCTCCTAAATTTTGATCTGAGTGACTGGTGGTCGTCTCCGCGGGTCACGCCATTACATTCTTACCCCTTCTTCATTTAAAGTTCTATTCACTCAAGTGCTTATTTGCTTTCTTCTTTGCAATTTCTGGAGCAAATTAACCCCTGGCTGTCGTATGACCCTCAGTATTCTAGCCATACATAAATATCCTAGCTCTGTTAAGTCTAAAAATCATGGGGACTTAGCCCACATTGTCCAGCTGTTCCCATTTAGGCAGCCTCATAATTAATATTTTCTAGCAAATGAGATTTCTGGTTATTCTTTAAATACTTCCCTTCTAGGCTGCGGCCTCACTTGTATGGTCTCCTCCACTGTCTGCTGCTTGTTGGGTTTCTCTAACATGTACATTTGCCCATGTGATTCCCTGGCTTGAAAGAGCATCAGTTATTCTCCAGTTCTCGTTGAGGAAAATCTAAGTCTCAATGGTGCATTCACTCCCTCTGTTTTAATCTCCCTGCTTTCCCAGTTTCATCTACTTTTTGCCCCTTGTGCCCTCACATTAAAGGCCTTGCAATTCTCCAAGTGAGTCTTCCCAGGGCCAAGAAACTGGTTCTCTGAAAGAAACCAGCAGCTGCTAACAGGCATGTTTGTGAGCCAAACTGCTGTTAGTAAGGTAAACACCAAAATAAACAGCCTCCTGAAAAGTCTTTTATATCATCTACATGAAATTTACACATGGTCTTTAGACATCGACAAAATGTTTTATGCACCACAACTTTCTGCTAACGTTTACTTCTCAAAAAGTTGTTACACGTCACATTCCACATTCAGAGATGATTCTTTTTACCGCAGCAATCCTTTCCTCCCACTTCCTCCACTGGCACCCGTGGCGTGACTTTCCTCCCATTTTCCTGATTTGTGATTAGGTTTCCCTTGAACCTAAATATTTCTTTGACTCATCTCTGACCCTGGAGGTGAGACTCTCACAGTAATTCTTGCCCCACATAAAATACTTTCAACCCTTCCCTTGCTATGACCTGACTCCAGCCATGGCCCTTTGGCTCCCACTGTAGGTGCCTCGGCCTTTTCTAGACTCCTTCCCTCCAGATCCACTTTTAGAGGCCAAGAATGCTCACTCTCATGTCTTTTCCAATGACATCGTCCCTTCCTCAGCAACTTACCAACAGGTACCACTCATTCCCCAGGTCCACGTAGCTGATTCCCCACTGCTTTAAATGACAGCTCCTGATCATGAGTTTGAGGCTATCCACTTCCACGGCACCCCTTCGCCTAACGACATTGATGAGACTGGAATTCCACTTACCCTTCTCTGTCACTTGACACCTATTCTTACAATGCCACCCCTCTACAACCCTCCCCACCTGCCTCCACCACCACCATCACCACCACCACCACCACAACCACCACCGGCCTCTCCACCTGAATGTCCTTTTTCTTCATCAAGCACTCCTCATAACTCATCTTTGTCATAAAGCTCTCCCAGAGTACAACCATTTCAGCAATCTCCTCAGCCCTTGTGTAAATACAAGCCATTCACATATATCAGACACTGGCCCTGCTCAATGTCAGAAGATCATGTATAACCATGCGAGTTCAGCAGGGAAGTGAGCCAGAATTTCAGTTTTCAAACGCCTTTCACAGAATCAAACATGCAGGCCAGAATGGCATTCCAGACCTTATTTTAAGGACTCGGGTACCATTATAATAAGGCACTCCACTATATACAGATCGAATTGAGTATTTATTTAAAATAATAAAAATGTTTGTCTTCATGCACTTTACATAAGATAGGAATCTATACACTTTCCTTAAGTCAGTGTTCAACTCCTTTCTGCTTTCGTCCTGAGGTGAGGCTTGCTCCAGAAGAGATAACTTTCATTAGGAGCCAGGAGGCGTATACCTGGAGAAAGGAAGAAGAAGAAGGGGAGATGATGGGCTTCAGAGTTCTCAAAAATGAGACCAGTCAGCTAACAGGGAACCCTACCAAATGCTTCTCCCAGCTCCTGGGTCTCCAGGTTTAAGCTCTGTGAACACTGTTCTCTCCCAAATATAGGACATCATGGACACTGCAAGGGTTAGGGGTGAAGCTGACCAGAATCTTTGCTCCAAGGAAGATTTTAATTTTCTTGCATTTCAGCCTTTTGTTGTTGTTCAAAGTTAACTGGAAATTATGGAGTCATGGTCACATCTCTGCACAGCTGTTCTTTATTTTTTTGTTTTATTACCACCATAGGTTCAATCACAAAGAAGGAAGTATATTATTTCAAATAGCTTCTTTAAATCTGAAAAACCAGGAAACAAGCCTGCAGTCATAAAAACATAAATCCAATCATAACACCTCAGTCAGGAAAAGCATCAGGCCTTGGGAACCCAGCAAGCTCAGCCCCAGCCCTGCTCAAACAGACCCCCACGGAAGGACTGATAGTATCTCCAATGAAAGCCAAACAGCTGAGTCACTCACCTAGCTCTTGAGGAGCAGAAGTGAAGAGGAATCATTGGTGGACTGTGGAGAGTTTCAGTGGAGAGGGGAAAACTGCTTCTCAGGAAGGAATCCCAGCAAGATGAGCTTGGTTTTCAGGCAAATTTTCTGCTTGAAACAAAGGAGCAGAAAACCTTTTATGGTTTATAATAAAATCAATTGATTTTAATAATAAAACTCTGTGGTTAGCCCTAGCCAGTTTTGCTCAGTGGATAGAGAGTCAGCCTGCAGACCAAAGGGTCCCAGGCTCGATTTTGGTCAAGAGCACGTACCTTGGTTGCAGGCTCCTCCCCAGCCCGGGCCCTGGTCAGGACTCGTGCAGGAGGCAACCAATTGATGTGATTCTCTCACATCAATGTTTTTCTCTGTCTTTCCCTTTCTCTTCCATTCTCTCTAACAGATCAATGGAAAAAATATCCTTGGGTGAGGATTAACCAAAAAAAAAAAGGAAAAAAGAAAAAGAAAAAATTCTGTGCTTAGATTTTTCTACAATAATATGAGATTCTCAGGGTAACTGACTTCAATTGCCTTGGTGTTAATGCTCATCAGGAGCAAATACTTGGGTGAGGATTAACAAAAAACAACCAACAAACAAATAAAAAAGAAATGCTCAAGATGAACCTTAAACATCTAGTCATACCTGAAAACATGAGCACTATTAACAACTATGTTATGCCAAAAGTAGTCAGGAACACACTTGCAAGGGCTTCCATTTGACTATCAATGAAAATAATAGCTGTAGTAAATTGAAGCTCATCAACTATATTTAAATCTATGAGCTCATAATTGTTAGGGTCACAGAAAGAGGTACATATGAGGCCAAAAGAGGTAAAGAATTATAAACTTATTAGGTCATCTGGAAAACCAGATGGGCTGAGCCCCAAAATGGCACCTTAAGATGAAACAAATACTCATGGAACAAATACTCATCAATGCCCAGGTCACAGCACCAGGAACAAAATAACATGGAGGTGAACGTATGGTGAGAGCCACCTGTGGTCTTCCTTCTCCATCAGTCCTCGCTGCACCCCGACCCCACTGTGACCTCTTGGCCTCCTGTGCCCCGGCCAGGTCCCAGCATGGCGTGCTCACTCTCCTGGAGGCCTCCTATGCCAGTTGCTGGTGCGCCAACATTGATCTTGGACCCCTGCTTTGCTGCCTGGGGTCATTCATATGCTCACACCGTTGCCCTTAACCACCTGGGCTGTCCCTTACCTGCCTTGGGATTTGTCATCACACTGTGTAAGAATCCAGCTGTGTCTAGTGACTCCCTAGTGATATCTAGGGCTAATCCTTGCCAGGTGATTGTTTCCAGAAAAGAAATTCAAGTTAGAGTATCCAGTGGGGAAAAAAAGTGTAAAGGAAAATGTTAAGAAAGACTGGCCCAGGCCAGACCCTCACTGTGGAGTGTGCAGGGAGCCCTCAGAGAAGGCATTGTGTTGCATCTTATTTAGACCCGGAAGCAGCCCGTAAATTCCCTGAAATGCAAAACTGCCTGTTTAACTTGGCCATCTGCCCCTTCCCTTTGCTCCGCCGTCCCAGGCCCACTGGGGCACAGTGAAGGTGTTCCCACTGTCCCTTCCAGGGCCACATAGTGACACTGAGCTGAATGGGGCGGGTGTGACTTGTCACAGCCACAGAGCAGAGAGTTTCAGAGTAATTAGCAGCTGAGTCCACTTAAAAAGTCCTTGGAAGAGGTGTTTTTTTTTCTTTTTTATGGAATTTATTGGGATTACACTGGTTAACAACATTATACAGGTTTCATTCCGATGCACAAGTCTACAACACATCATCTCTACACTGTACTGTGTGTTCACCACCCCACGTCAAGTCTCCGTCCATCACCATTTATCCCCCCTATACCCTCCTCCATGTCGGTCCACCCTCCACCACCCCCCTGCAATCACCACACTGCTGTCTGTGTTCATGTTTATTTTGGTTAATGAGTTCTGCTTACAATGGGGTTCTGGGAAACATGAACAGAATGAGTTAAGTAAAAAAAAAAAGTGACCTTTTTCTTGTGAAACAATGAGAAATACCACCCAGGAGTGAGTAGTTCCATTTCTTGAAAAACTGTGAGTTATATACCTTTTTGGATTCTGGTTCCATGCTATTTTTTCTTTCTTTTTTATATATATATATAAATATTTTTATTTATTTCAGAGAGGAAAGAAGAGGGACAGAGAGATAGAAACATTATTGATGAGAAAGAATCACTGAGCGGCTGCCTCCTGCACACCAGCACAGGGGATCGAGCCCGCAACCGGGGCATGTGCCCTGACCGGGAATCGAACCATGACCTCCTAGTTCATAGGTCAATGCTCAACCACTGAGCTACGCTGGCCAGGCATGTTATTTTTTCTTCGTTCTTTCTAATACCTCAACTCAATCTTTTGGCACTGAATAACATGTGATAAGGTCACACTGATATCCTTTCACACCCTAAAGCGCCTGAAATTGTCTCTAAAAAAGCCAGATGTTGAGCAAATAGTTCATGAGAAAGTTCTGTTATCCATTATTCAGCCAAAATAGCATCATGCAGAAAGCTGGCTATTAAAATTTATAAAGTAGATACAGTGAAATATTACTCAGCAATAAAAAAGAATGAAATCTTGCCATTTGTGACAACAGGGATGGTAAAGCAGCGGTTGTCAACCTTTTTCATCTCACAGCACACAAACAAATTATTAAAATTCTGCGGCACACCAAAAAATATATTTTTTGCTGACCTGACCCAAAAAAGGTATACTTTTCATTCATTCACACTGGATGGCTCTTGTTGTGTTGGCTGTTGTCATTATTTTGACAGTCTAAGGCAGCGGTTCTTAACCTGTGGGTCGCGACCCCTTTAGGGGTCGAACGACCCTTTCACAGGGGTCGTCTAAGACCATCGGAAAACACATATATAATTACATATTGTTTTTGTGATTAATCACTATGCTTTAATTATGTTCAATTTGTAACAATGAAAATACATCCTGCATATCAGATATTTACATTATGATTCATAACAGTAGCAAAATTACAGTTATGAAGTAGCAACGAAAATAATTTTATGGTTGGGGGTCACCACAACATGAGGAACTGTATTAAAGGGTCACGGCATTAGGAAGGTTGAGAACCACTGGTCTAAGGGAAAAGAGGTCAGTGCCCTTGACTGAATAGTCAGGTATTGCATGTTTTAAAAATTCTTGTGGCACACAGGTTGAAAATCACTGACCTAGAGGGTTATTAATGCTACGTGAAATAAGTCTGACAGAGAAAGACAAATACCACATCATTTCATTTATATGTGGGATTTTAAAAAAAATTAAAACAAATGAGCAAACAAAACAAAACAAAAACAGACTCATAGAAACAAAAAAACAAAGTGACCTTTGCCAGGGGCGAGGGGTGTGGAGGGCTGGGAGGAAAGGTGAAGAGGAACCGTCAGTAATAGTGTGGCAACTGCACAGTGGCAGACGGTTACTGCGCTTGGTGTGGTGAGCAGTAGGATACACAGATGTCTGGTGAGTCGCTATGTCGCACATCTGAAATCAATACTAATCATACTGCATGCTAACTATGCTTTAATACAATTTTAAAACAATAAAGTTCATAAAGTAGAAGTGGACTGAAGAAGTTACTCCCCAAATCCAGTACCATCTGTTCAGAGACTGGCATTTTCACAAAAAGGAAACTTACCCAAAACATTTAAGAATTTGCACGAATATACTGAGCATCTAGATCACAAAAGTTCTCTCGGGGACTCTCACTACCTCCCTTCCATCCCCCCCCCCCCCCCCCCCGGGCCCATTTTGGCCAGCGCCCCAAGGAAAAAAATGGGGGGGGGGCTTTGCCCGGGCGGTAGACGGAGTTTTTTATAACCCAGAAAGCCCGGGGCTTTCCGGGCCAGGATTTAGAGACAAAGTTTTCTCTTTAGGCAAGACCCCCCGGGGGCCTCCCCCGAGCTCCGAGAAACTAACCCCGCAAAATATATACCTACATTTATACTTATGTCTATATTTTGAGTAGAACCAATGACAGCGATGATAAATGGACAGTAGGAAGAAGGGATCTGTGGTTATTCTGATGTGAGAAGGTGCTAGCACTAGCCCCGAAGTCGCGCACCTGGATTAGTGGGAAATGTATATTCGCAGACTTTAGGACAACCAATACAAAAAATTGTTTCAAAGGAGAAAAATAGCCCCAGCTGGTGTGGCTCAGGGGAATAC